TTTAACTAATTAAATTCATAAATAGTTGTTTTTCTTAATATTGTTTAACTATATTTTTATTATTAGTTTTTTTTTTTTTTTTAATATTTTTTTACTTTTAAGAATAAATAGTTACTTCTATATTATTATAATTTAATTCATTGTAGTTATATTAGTATACGTATTTATTTTCTAATATTAAACTTATATATTTATCTTTAATTTATAAGCAATTATTATGTTTTTTCTTTTTATATTAATCTTAAAATTACTAAAGGTATACATTGTCTAAACTTATTTTATAAGTAATAAGACTATTCAAAAATTAATTTTAATATTAAGTCTGAATTTGTAAAATAGGTAGATATTAATTTACTTATTATAACATTTATTAAAGTTGTCTTTAAAATTAAATTAAAAAGCTAAAAATAATAATTATGAATAAAGCTATATAAAAAACTAACAATAAAAATAACTTTATATAAATTTTTAAATAATATTTTTTTTACATATTAAAATATTTATAAGGTAATAGCATTTACTGTTTTTTTAATTCAAAAGCTTTTAAATAATAAAATTTTCTTATTATTTTAAATAATTACTAAAAATATTAGCAGGTTGAGTACTATTATTTAATTATTGATCTTAATTATTATTTCTAAATTAGGGTTTATAACTTTATAGGTTAACATCTTTTTTATTAATATCAACTTTAGTTATGTTTTAACTATTATTTTGATTATCATAATCATAATATTTGAAAGATGGATTTTTCTAAAGCCCTTTAATTAAGCTATTTCTAGTAAGTTATTAAGTATAATTATTTGAAAAATCTATATTTTTAAATTAATATAAACTATCTGACTAATCAACACATTTATAATTAGTTTAATCATCAATATTATTTCGATAATTTTTTGATTAAAATACAGTTGAATCTTAATTATTTTAAGGATCATAAATTATTATGTTTTTGTTTTTTTATGTTTTTTTGCTGCTAAAAAGTGACTTTTTTTAACTCTTTTGATTACTTTTATATAAAGTTTAATATTTAGTTTCGCTTTTATTAATTTAATTATATTTATCTAGATTAGACAAAGAATCATTAGAATTAATGCAATTACTTTAATCTAAAATTTCCTAAATAGCAATAATTTCCAAACTATAGAACTATTCATTTAAAACTACATTATTTTTGACATAACTAATTAATGTAAAAATTAAATTAAAATTAATTTAGAAAATAGAGTAGTTTTTGGAATCACTAATAGAATTAATTGAATTATTCGTATTTATTTAAAAATTTGTTTAACTTCTTAATTTACATTATGAATATATTTCTATATCATATATATTTTATAAACCTATTAAATTCATTGGAATTTTTAATATTGCGTTTTCATTTTTTACTATATATTCCCAATTTTATTATTCATTTTCATTTTTAAGATTCTAATATCTTACCATTTAGTAGTACTATGAGGTTTATATTTCTCTTTTACTCGAATTCATTTAATGGCTTTTTATTATTTAAATTAATTTAGGAATCAATAAAAATACACTAATTTTTTAATAAAAAGTTTATAAATCAATTATTGTTTATTTCCCTTAAAACATTTTTAAATTTTATTTAGTTAATTTTGAGGAATTTGCTGAAAATAACAAATAATACAAGTCTTGTGTAATACCCTAAATTTTACCGTCTAGATAAAAATTAATATATTAATAATCATTTTACTAAGACATAATAGCTACATTTACACAAAAATCATCATATAGTTCATAAACAAAGTCAATATATAATTAAATGGGAAAAATAAATCCTTATTTTTTTAAAGCAAACGTTTTAAAATTATTCTAAAGCTTAAAAGAATGACCTTTTTCAATCATATTATATATTAGGTCATCATGAATTCTTCCTATTACTTTTGGCATCAAAAAGTTTATAGAATTTATTTGTTAGAACTCTTATTTTGAATAACCAAATAATTTTGATAGTTTAAATTAATTTTAAAGTATAATTTTTCCTTTTTCTTTTGATAAACTTACTTAAAATACTATAAGATTTCCTTATAAAATGTTTAAATCATTCATTTATTTAGACAAAACTTAACTTTGATCTTACTTTTAATCAAAGTATTATTATTCGTATTAATATGAAGTAAAATACTAAGTCAAAACTAAACATTTATATATTGAAACCATCTTTTTTGTTTAAATAAATAATAATAAAGTATAAAAGTTTATACTATTAAAATAAAAATACTTTCAAATAAATAATTTTTTAAGGCAAATCTTTTTTTCTATTTGCCTAGAGAAGAATTTATTTATTATATAAATTTTTCAATAATTCACTGCTTTAAGAAAACTTTAAAGTTACTTTTTCAAAATCATCGATTGAATTAATGCCTTTTTTAAGATAAGATAGCAATTCGATTTTTTGATAAATAAAAGAACTCATAAATTAAATAAATTTATATTTATATTTATCTGCATTTAATATTTCTTAAATATCAAGTATTTAATTTTTTTATTAATTTTCCATTTGTTTTTATTTCTAGAGCATCTTTGCTTCTATATTATCTATTATAACTTTACTTATTATTTTTGTATAAATATTTGCATTTTTATTATTATTTTAAAAATTTTTTAATTAAAATTATGACTTTATTTAATTATTTCTTATCTTATATAAGTAAGATACATATTTTAATATCACATGCTCGTATTATGTTTTATCTTTTTATATAATTTATGAGTTTAGATATTAGTTAAATATATCATCAATTAAAATATATATATTTTCCTTGTTTATAATATTACTTTTAAAGTCAATAAATTATTCAGTTTTGCATATACAAAATACATTTATACAGGTTTCTATATGAAAGCTCAAAGTTTAACACAACTATATTTTAGATTTTTCACTTTTTTAATATTTTATGGTAAGAGTATATATTTATTCTAAATAAAAATCTATTTAAATGTAATTACTATTTATTTATATATATTTAATATACATATATATAAATATATTTATACTACTTTTTAGCATGTTTTTTTTTTTGTAATTTTTTTTAAAAACTCAATCAAAAAAGTGTATTATCTATTTTTTCTCGCATTTTTATCGATTGTTTTTTTATAAAAATATTACATAAAAAAAAAAAATGTTAAAAAGTAATATAAATATAAAAAATTTATAAATAAAAAAAAAAAATTCTTACTTTTAAATATTTTAAAAGTCTAATTATAGAATACACTGATATTAATGTTATTAATATTTATATATAATAGCAGTAAAAAGTGTATTAATAAAAACTATATAATAAAATAAATCTGTATCTTTTATATAATCTGTATAAATCCAAAAAGTAATTATAATATTACTAATTTCATAATACCCAGTTCCTGCTATATAACAAAGTTAAACTTTTTAATTTCTAAAAGGATAATTTTTTATTATATCATAAATTGTAAAAAATCCTAAAATGTGTGAAAATAACTACTAAAAAACTGAAAAAGTATTTTAATTAATATAATAAATAAAAATAAGTGCAAAATAACAAGAAAGCTAAATAATTTAGACATAGAAAAATTATCTTTTCAAAATATTTTTCTCACAAAAGGCATAATTTCTAAAAAGAAACATAACTTAAAAACTTGTGAAAATGACTAAAATAATCGTGATTGAGGCCACAATAATAATTTCGACAGGTTTCTTTTAGCAATTATTTTTATTTTGAAATTCTTACAAAAATGCATTCTGATTACAAGACAAGACAGCCAAATTTATTTCTAAAAAAGGAATGAAAAAAATCCATTAATAAAAACTAAAATATACATTCAATACTGAATTTATTCCAAAAAAAAATTTCATTTTTTTTTGATGCCATTGTTTCTGATAATTCTTCAAATAAGTTAATGTTATTAAATATATGTAATATAAAATTGTTATTTCAGACATTAAGCAGAAAAATGTTAATGTTAATGAATCAATTGCTCTTAATGAAAGAAGGAATGTACCAGTTGATAGTTCATTTATTTTGGCTAAAAACATAAATTTTATTTCATCTAATGGTTTTGGTTAAGATATACAAAAAAAATATCCACTTGCTTGAAAAAAATAAATTACCAAAGCTATTAAATATATTTATTCTGGGATTATAAAATTGGGTTAATCTTCCATAATTTCTAATATATTCTATAAAAAAACTGAATATAATTTAGTATTTTTTTACATTTTTAATATATATTATTTATTTTTATCTTTCTTAAAATAAAATAAAATAAAATATAAATTTTATTAAAAAAAATATTTTTATTAATTTAAAAATACAAAATTATTATTTATTTAAAAGGTAAAAATTTATATATACAAATTAAAAATATAATAATTATAATAATAAAAAATTTAATTAGAATCCTAAAAAAAAATATCATAATAATAATAATAGTATTTTTATTTTTTTTAAAAATAATTAAGTAACTTATTATAAATAAAAAAATGAAATTTAATCCATAATATATAATTAAATAATTTTAATATAGTTTTATATAAATATAAAATATTTTAATTTATTAGAATAATTTTAAATATAACATTTTTATTTCATAAATTATAATTTTTTTTTGTATTTTAAAATAATTATTTTTTAAATTTGCAGACATTAGTTTATAAATAATTAAATATTTTTAAATTAAAATAAACTTTTAAAAAATCTAGATTATAATTTATTTATATAAATAAAGCATTCTATGTATAAAATAATAATTTTTATAAATTTAAAAAATTTTAATTATTAAAAATAAAAATTTATAAGTAATATAATATAATATATATTTTTATCAAATAATATAAAAACCGTTTTTAACTATTTTGCTTTTCAATTAAAAAAAAAAATCAAACAAAATATAAATTTATATAATTACATTTTTTTATATAATAAAAAATTTTAATAATTAAAATTTTTTTAAATAAAAATATTATTATAAAAAAAGGATTTATTTATTTAAAATAAAAAATGGAAAAAATATAAAAGCAATCTTAATAATACGATACCTTATATAAATTTATAATAATAGGAAACACAAGCTGTGGAAAAACATGTATTTTACATCATTTTATAGAGGGAGAATGTAAAAAAAATAATATTTATAATCATTTATTTTAAAATAAAGTCAAAAAAAATTCAACATATACAATAGGAGTTGAATTTGGTTCTAAAATATTAAGTTTATAAAACAAAAATATAAAGCTATAAATATGGGATACTGCAGGTTAAGAAAGATTTAAATCTGTTGCACGTACATATTATAGAGGAGCATTGGGAGCAATAATAGTATATGATATGACAAGGTAAATTTAATTAAATATATATATATATATATATATATATATATATATATATATATATATATATAAGAATCGATACATTTCACAGTGTTAAATAATGGATTTAAGATGCTAGAGATTTAGCAAGAAATGACATTTAAATAGCTGTTTTTGGAAACAAATGCGATTTATTAGAAGAAAGATAAGTTACATATTAAGAAGCGAAGAGATTTTGCGATGAAAATAATGTTTTATTTTATGAAACATCAGCCAATACAGGTGACAATGTAGAATAAGGTTTTGTATAAGTAACTAAATAAATAATGGATATGGTTGAAAAAGGAATTATTGACAATAATGAATTAAAGCCAAAATTAGAATTTAATATAAACACAAAAGCCTCTTAATAATAAAATTAAAATGTAAATGGTTAGTATTGTTAATGTTGAGAAAATAAAGATCATAATTAATTTAGAATTTTTTTATAAAAATTTAAAAAATAAAATAAATAAATTATATAAATTTAATGTTAAACAATATGTTATTTATATAAAATAAATATAAATTTTTCAGCATTTTTTTTATAATACAAAAAGCATGCATTTGTAATTAAAAAATATATTTTAATATATACTATATATTTAATTAGTAATACTCAAACATACATATTATTAAATAGTTTTAAGGTTTTTAAACTTTATATATTTTCTTTGATAATAAATATTCTTCTAAAATTGAATTTTTTTATTTTATGGCTTGTTTATTTTCAAAAAATTCAGTCAATAAAAAAGGAGGAAAAAAATTGATTAGGGTGGGGGGGTTCTTTATTTTTTTATTTCATTTTTATATTTTAATTCAATTAAATTATTATTTTTGCCAAATTTTTAAGGATATTTTGATTTAAAATTACTAAATATTAACTTTTTATTATTAAGCTTAATTATATTGAATAAAAATTTCCTAATAATAAAATAAATACCATCCTAAGTATTAAAAGTCTTAATATTTTTTATTTATTGAATTTAATTTATCCAATAAGAGATTCGGAAGTAAATTATCAAAATATATATTATGTTAATTAATATTATTTTGTGAAATATAGTATTTAAAGATTTATAATAAAACTTCAAAACAACATATTAATATTTACTTTAATTAATTAACTCAAAATTTTTATTTTATATTAAATATTAAAATGTATTTCTTATTTTTTTAATTTTATATTTAAAAAGTACTTTTTTATTTTATAAATACCATTTCTTATTATTATATCAACATATTGCTAATAAATAGTTTATAATTTAATGCATAATTATATATATAATTTCTTTAAATTATTTTGAATATTTAATTTTAATTTTTTATTAAATTCTTAATATTATTGCAGAAATATTATTTTTATAATAATAATATAAGTCTTTAGGAAAATAAATTAGATATTTAAAATATAAAAATATTCAAATTGTTTTTTAATAAAAAGTTTAATTTTAAAGTAAATACTTTTTTTTTTAAATTATAAAAATACTATCTATTTTAATAAATATAAGTTTTAAAATATTATTATTAATAACAAAATATATAAATATATATTTATCTTTCTAAAAATTTAAATTTTTTTAAACATATTTTATTTTGTTCTAAAAAATAAAACATAAAAAATGAAAACTAATCTATTAATATTACTATTAATATCAATTCTTTTTTAATTATTAAATACTCAAGATACAAAATCATCCAAAACTACTTTAGATTTACAAAATAATTCATAAATAGGTAGTGGAGTAATATCAATAATAATAGGTATAGGATTATCATTTTTAATATGTGTATTAAGTCGTGGCACAACATAATAAATGTAAAATAAAATTAAAAATAAATAAATAAAACAAAACAAAACAAAAGATTAGTGTCAGTAGGTGGAAGTTTTATACCAATAATAATATTAATAATAGTATTAGTGATTCCAAAAGAAAGTGATAATAAAATTTCGGCTAGTTTTTCTCCAGGATTTGATGACTAATTTCGTTATAGAATGGCAATTTTATCATTAATGGTAATGTCTTTTTTATTAGCAATTTTATGGAAATTTAATTTATCTGTTTTTTCAAATCATGAAGCTAGAAAGGCAACTTCAAATTTCAAAGGAAAATTTTTAAGTAATTCTTTAAATTTGTAAAAGAAAGAATAACAATTCTAAAACTTAATAAGAGATTAAGAAGAAGAAGAATAAAAATAAGAAGATGAAAGATAAAAATTAGTTTAAGGAAATTAAGAATAATCCAATATAGTAAGTTAAAATACACCTTAATATCTATAAAATTCAAGATAATAATAACCCATATGAAAAATATAAAATATTTTGTAAAAAAAATAAAATAAGCAAATATATATAAATACATTATTTATAAAATTAAAATATAATAAAAAAAACTTTTATTTATTCACATTCAATTAGAAACTAAAAGGGCATATCAAAAATCCAAAAACATCAATTAAAATTATTTCATTGATTCCAAATTTATGAGCTAAATCAATAATATAAAGGACTAAAACACATCCCGAATTTCCCAATCTATAAATAATTATTAATTCAACCAATATAGAAGCAGAAATATACATTTAATGAATTTATGTTCAGAAAAAAATAAATTGAAAGCTTTAAAATCAAGCATATAAATAGAAAAATTATATTGATAAAAATAATACTTTAATAATGCTTTCTTTCATTTGAAAAATACAAAAACTACATATAATAAGTGTCATTAATTAACAAAGTCAAAAAATTAATTAATTCAAACACATATCGAAGCAAATTATTGATAAACTTCATTGACACCAAAAATAATATAATTAAACATAAAGTATTACTAAACAAGAACTTATTGCATATTTTTTTTAATAAAATAGATTAAATTATTTATAGCAAATTTTAACCTATAATTTTTTGAATTTAATAATACTTCACATTCATTTTTTTATAATTTTGTCTTTTTTATTTTTAACAAATTTATGGTTGCTTATTTTCTTTCCCAGTATCAAAATAAAATAATGGTGGTTCTACTACAAATAATAACCCCAAATTTATTAATAAGAAAGAGATTGAAATAAAATACAAATATATTTACTTATAATAATTAAAATAATATACTATATGAATTGCTAATAATTCACTTATTTCCTATCCATTATATTAAAGAAAATAGCATTCATTTAATTTTTCTTTTTAAAAAAAATATTAAAATGTTTTTATTTTATAAAAAATACCTATTCTATTAAATATTTTATTCAGGTCATATAAAGAATCCAGTAATAAAATTATTTATAATAATATGATAAGAATGGAAAACAAAACACATCTTAAAAATTAATAAAAAAATTCTCGAACATAGTCTCTAAAAACAAAAAGCCATATATTTCTCTAATATTTTTATTTTCACAATATATGTCAAATTTTATTGCAAATGTCATTTTTTAATCTGAAAATACTTACCAGTTTTAATATTTTCCCGTATTTTCAGAAAATTAAATACTGTTTTAGCATAAAAATTTAGGTCAAATTTGTAAAAAGTATTATATATAGTTCAAGTATTTATATAAAAAAACTAACAAATACTATTTATATATTTCCAAAATTACCAAACTCTTTTAAATATTAAAAGATAAGATTAAATTATCTTTTTTAGATAAAATTTAACTTACAAATCAATCGATTTTTGTAATTAATTTGTCTTCCATATTTTTATGTTATTTATAAGTAATAATAAAAATTTATATTTATTTATTTTTTAAAAATAAAATAGTAATTTATATTAATATAAAAAAATAATATAATAATGACTATTGCTCTTTATCAATATTATTTTATATGAATTAAATTGATATATCAATAGTTTTGTTAAAAAAAAACAAATCTATGTATTTTTAACATTTACATTTATTTTTTACAATGTAATATGTTTTAGTTATTTCTATAAGTTTTTAAAAAATTTACTAAAATAATTTAAACAAAATCTAATATATAAATCCCGATTTTTAAAAAAATAATTTAATTTATGATTTTATATTAAATTATACTCTTTTTTTATATACAGTAAATGTAAAGAATTTTGAAAAAAATTATAATTTAAAAAAAAAAACTCTACAGACAGAAAATACATTAATAAATATATAAAATAAAATAATAAAAATAGCTATTTTTTAATTTAAATCATTAGGCTTCTGGTTCAGTAGACTTTTTGGTCTTTGATGGTAATAACATGGGGTTAATGTTGGGTAAAACACCACCATCAGCAATAGTAGTATTGGACATTAATTTATTCAATTCTTCATCATTTCTAATAGCTAAGAGAATATGTCTTGGGACTATTCTGGTCTTTTTATTATCTTTGGCAGCGTTTCCAGCTAATTCTAATACTTCAGCAGCTAAATATTCTAATACAGCAGCCATGTAAACAGGGGCTCCTGATCCGACTCTTTATGCGTATCTTCCTTATCTTAAAAATCTAGAAATTCTTCCTACTGGGAATTATAAACCAGCTCTGTTGGATCTAGATACTTATTTAGATGAAGCGGTTTTTCCTTTAGCTTTTCCTCCTTTTCCGGCTGTGCTCATTTGATATTTTTTTTGTTTTTTTTTTTAGTTTTTTTTTTATTTTTATTTTTTAAATATTTATTATATTCCTGTTTAATTTTTTTTATATATATAATGTTTTTAGGCCCTTATTTTTAATATATATATATATTTGTATATATATATATAGATATATATATATATATATATATATATATATATATATATATATATATATATATATATATTATGTAATTTTTCTTTTGCATTTTTTAATGTTATATAATAAAATAAAAAAGGAAATACATTTATCCTAATTTAAAATAAAATAACCAATTAAAAATTAGATTATTTTAAAAATTGAATTTTTTTAAGATTTAATTATCTTATTTTTTAAAAGAAAATAAATAGATTGACTTATTGATACAAAAGATCGACTAAAAAAGGATTAGTAATATATTATATACGTAAAAGAGGGAATAATATATAACCGATATAATAAATGTGCCAATTAATCGCCATTTTTGGCAATATTCTTTACATTTTTTGTTTTTTATATTTTTATTTTTTATATATAAAATATATATATTAATAATTTTATATTATAATTTTAAATAAATATGTAAAAAAAATAAGGAGAAAAAAATTACGAAAAACCTTCAATATTTTTGTTTATAAAGAAGATATAAAAACATACATTTTTAAAAAAATATATATATTTTTAAATATTCATTATGAATAAATTTATTAGAAAACAGTGAAATTTATTTCTTCGAAAAAAAAGAAGATTTTTGTTAGGTTTGTTTTGAAAAATAGACTGTCATTTTTTATTTTTTTTAAAGAGGAAAAAAAAAGTTAACATTTTTTTTTCCTCTCTTTTTTAAATTAATAATTTTTTTTAAATATAAAATATTTATAATATTTTTTTTTTTTTTTTTAAATAATTTCTTTTTTTAAAAATTAATTAAATAAAAGATATATATATATAAAAATAATTAATTTTATTAGAAAATAAGTAAATAAAATTGTGATTTTATTTTTTTAATATCATTAAATATTGTTATTTAATTAATATTTTTATATTTAATATTGAATATATAATATTTTAATTTTATTTTTTATTAAATTTAAAATTTTTTATATTTTTTATATAAGAAATTAATTTTAAGATTTTTATTAAAAAAATATTTTAATTTATTAAATTGAATTTTAAAATGAAAAGAAAAATATTTTTAATTTAAAAAAATATTAATTAATTTATTAATTTTAATTAAATAAAAAAGTAAAAATATATTATATATAAATTTTTATATAAAATACTAAAACTTTTTAAATTTACTAAGTTAAAATTTTATTTTTAAACAAAAATAATTTATATTTTATATTATTATGAAAAGTTATGCAATTTAAACATATTAAATAAAATTATTATTATATTTTTTTAATTAATTATTTTATATTTATTTATAAAATAGTTACATAATAATGTAATTTAACTAATCCAAGTTTGTTTTTTATATAGTTTTTTTTTTTATTATTTTATTTATTTATTTTTTTAAAGTTTCTTTATTATTAACATTATCATTTATAATATTTTTTTTTCTTTTTTTTTATTAATTATCTATTCAAATTATGTTCTTAATTTTTTTAAAAAGCATATTAAATTATAATTAAGTTTAAATATTATTAAAATGTTAGGAAATACGTCGAAAACATTTATCTATTTAAGTTACAATCTAAAACTATTTAAATTTTTTTCAATTTATTTACTACAAACAGGAAATATAGTATTTTATTAATATTTAAGATATTTAGATAAAAAATATTATTAATTTTTCTTATCACATTAGCATTTTTAAGACTAATAGCATAACTATTGTTTCCCGAAATTTATTTAATAACCTTTAGTAAAAATAAAATTTATAGTTTACATGGATAAAATTAATATTTAAAGTTTTCATTAAAATTTTTATATGTTAACATATTTTTATCAATATATATAGAATCCATCCTTTTACTATTAAGTTAATATTTTCCCATTTTTATATATACAGGCTTTTCATTTAATAATAGTTTATCATAAAAAGCATATGATAAACGAAATCTTAAAAAAAAAATTATAAATAAATGGTTCGTCATATTGTATATGTATTAGAATTTACATAAACTTATATATTTTTTTAATTGAATTTATATAAAATATAGTTTTTATAATTCTGTTTTCAATATTAATCCTTCAAATAATAAAAAATATAATTTAATGTAATCATCTTTATTAAAAAATAAGAAAAGCAAGTGAAAATACAAAGGAATTTAAAGTAGTTAAAAATATTAAAAATTTATAATTTTCTATTATTATTTTAAAATCTTTATTATTATTTTCATTTATATTTGCAGTTATTAACTTTAGTTATTAAACTCGTAAATTCAAATATATTTTTTTTATGTTATAAATAAAATTAGTAACTATCCAAATGCTTAAATCGAGTTTTTGTGTAAAAAAGTCCTTATGAATTAAATATATTAATTATCTACTTATATTGGGATTAGAATCTTATATATATGTGTATAAATTTTGTATTTATCATAGCTTAATTTTGATACATTTTTTACATAAAAGCTTATTGTATATAAAACGTTTAAAATATTATTAATGGACTAAAATATAAAAACAATAAACTTTCCTTTATTATTTTTAATATTTATTTTTATATAGGATTTTTACATAATTATATATATATAAGTCTAAAAAATATATATTTAATTTAATAATTCTTATAAATTTTTTTCTTTTTTACATTATGTCAATAAAATTTATAAAAAATAATAGTATAAATAAATTATAAGATTAATTATAATAAATATTAATAATATAAACTTATAATGATATAAGATTTTTTTTCTTATTCTAAATATTTTAACTTAGAAATAATTTGTAATAATAATTATAAATATTTTGGATTTCAAATGTATTAGTAATTTTTTTTAATATAATTATTAATTAATTATAAGTTTATTTATTCTCTTGATATTTTTATTTTTTATATATTTAATTAAAAACTAATTAATTTAATTTATTAATTTCCTTAATCATCTTTAATATTTTGCTATATTAAAAATATCGCATATGTTTTAATTTTTTAAATAATCTTTTTAGTTATAATATTTAATTATTTTTTCCTAACGTATTTATTGAAAATTTGATAAATTAAAATAATTTCTAAAATGAATTAATTTTAATAATTTTATAAAATATTTTATTTATTAAGTAATCTTAAGATTATTTTATAAATTAAAAAAATTATTTAAAAATATAATACTAAAATGTCTAATTTTAAAATACTTTAAAAAATTAATATTACAAAATCAAAATTTGATTAAATATGGTAAAATTTAAAATTTTAATTAAAAATTTAATTATTTATATTTAAGAAAATTATTTATATTACATTTATAAAGTATAAAAAACTAAAACATAAATAAATACAAATTTAAAATATTTATTCATATAAATAAAAATTTACATAAAAATAATGGAAAAATAAGATAAATCATTTGATTTTATTAAAATATTAGGTATTTTCTTATTCAAATATTTATTTAAAAAAATTCTAAAATTTAAAATAATAATAATAAACTTAACAAATCATTAAAAAAAAATATAATTAAAATAAATTAAGATGTTTAGCTTTAAAATATACCAAAAGAAGATCAAGTGTAATTAATGAAACAAAAGATAAATATAATTTACAAAGAAATGATTAAAGAAAAACAAGAAAAATTAATTTAAAAAATTAATTAAATTAAACAAATTAACATAAATAAAAAATTAATGAACTATTATTAAATAAATCAGTTTCTTCTCCTAAATAGATTTTAGAAAATTAAACATAAAATAGTTCTCCTTTAAATAGCGCTATAAACTAAAATCAAAATCTAACAAACTAAAGTGATAATAATATAATAATTAACGAAAATAAGAAAAATAATACTTAAATTAAAAGAACTTATGGAGTTTAATAAATGTTAGCCTCTGGATTTGCAAAATTTCAATGCACAGATAAATCTATTATTAATAATAATTTTGTAATGAATTTATTTAGTAAATAAAAAGAAGAAATTTTAATAGATAACAAATAAAAAAGTTAAAAATTAAATATTTCTTAAAAAAAATTGACTTCAACAATTCTTAGATTAGATAAGGAAATTAAATTATTAAAAAAAGAACCAAGACATAGAAGGTATAATATTAAATATTATTATTTTTTTTAACAAAAAAAAAAAAATTAAATTATAAATTTTTAGTTAAGTTGATTTTAAAAGTTTATAATTATAATCAGATTATGTTAAAAAAAATTATTTGCTTTAGATTTAATTAGAATAAATGTAATAAAGATATAAAAATTTAAGAAATAATTATGATTTACTTATGTAAGAAAGTAAAATTATTGATGAAAATTTCAAATTATAATATGATAAAATTGCTTAATAAGAATTAATTGAATAATAACATAAAATTACTAACGAAAATTATATATAACAATTAAGTCTTAGAAATAAAGAATTAACCATTTAATTAAACGAATAAAATTATAAATATGATAAATTGTATGAAAGCTTTGAAATCTTATAAAAAAATGATTACAGATAAATTGTATTTTTTTATAATGATTAATATTACATATTTAATTTTTAATATTTTAATTAAAAATATTATTAATTTTATATATTTCTTAAATAAAATAAATAGATAGAATAAATAAAAGATAAACTATAAGTTTTTAATCTATATAAACTTGATTAGTAAAAAAATAAAACAGAATGTTAATTAATTCTTAGAAAAAACTAGTTTAATAAATATATGATACACATAGAAACTGCTTAATAAATATAAATTTTAATGTCTGTAGATATTACAGACGTAATTCCTTAAAAATAATAACCAATATTTTAATTAGGATACAAAGTAAATAATTCAATAAATAATATTTTATAAATTTATTATATTTTTGAATATTAAAGGGAATTAATAATTAATAATT